GTGGCATCGTTTTTGCGAGTTTGTATGCGTGGGTTCAGCGCGCCTTTTTTGCACGCTTGTCATATTTTTATGCGCTTGAGAACGCACACACGAATACACGTGTTTTGACTGGCAGTTCAAAAAACATTGCGGTCAGTGGACGAACACACGTACGAACGCACAAAAACATACACCATAATGTGCAACATGCTTGTTTCCTGGTGTTTTTCATTGAAGCCTATGGGGGGGGAAAATGAGCTTGAAAATGCCCAAAAAAAAGCTCATGTACTTTTTCCTGCATTTGGCTTTTTGCTGCTCTGGGGTGAACAGGGGCCATTGAAAATCATGGGATTTCTTGTGTTGGGCCTTTAAAAGCGCCTTTCCTACTGCTCAAAGGCCCCTAGGTGTGAACCAGGCCTAACACATTGAGGGGAATTTATCAAAACGGGAGCAGACAGAATCTGGAGCAGTTGCCCATATCAACCAATCAGCTTCTATATTTCAATATTAAAGCTTAACTGAACAAATTGAAGAGAGAAGCTGATTGGTTGCCATGGGCAACTGCTCCAGATTCTGTCTGCTCCAATTTTGATAAATTCCCTCCATCGTGAGTAGGGATGAGCACAGGTTTGGACTGGACCCAGTCCAAACCTGAGCTCCACGAAACACGTTAGTGTCGTGGCCACCCACCCAATAACCTTGGCTGGAACATTCCCCACCCAGCAGCTGCACATAAACAAAAGGGGTCAGATGCTTTTGCTGATGGCGTTGGCCTTATATGGCCACATGGTTATATGAGGGTCTATGTCATGGATTAAGTATAGCCATGTGGTGCTATAAACTCAATGACATCACTGCATCCCGTTCCTTGGCTTATGTGCAGCTGCGAGTGCCCATGCGTGCAAGGCAAAGTTCCTTGACTTGCATTGGAGCTCTGCTGGAAAAAACAGACAGGGCAGACCACAAGCCTTGAAATGGCCACTCTGACTAGAGGGAACCGCTGGCGGCAACGTCTGACTACTGCATGCAGACTTTGTGTTCCCGCAAATCACTACAATGACCTAATGTTAAAGCAGGGGTTCAGTATTAGGGGACCAGACCTCTAATGGTGACTGTGTAGACCAGCCTTTCTCAAGCAGGGTGCTGTGGCATCCCTGGTGTGCATCCTGACTTCCTCTGGGGTGCCTCAAATGTTGTGGTAGTGCGACTGAGATGAAGGGGGTTTTTGATGTAAAGGGGGGGGGCTCTGATATTTAAGAGGAGCCCCTCATGTG